TCTGCTGAAACCTGCCCACAGTGCCTAATCCTCGTTGAGCCTCAACTTTGCATTGTCTGCAAACTATCGCGGTAGCTCCAGTCAACTGTCCCATATCGGTGTGAACTCTTTAAGCAGGGTGGGGGATTCTGCCTCCCAACCCTTCTCAGGTAAGCCCGCTCAACTCAGGCCCGACCTGGCCATAATTCTAGCGTCTTTTCAACACGCCGCCTTGACTGAATTCGGGGGGAACAGAAGGCCGAAATTCACTCCGATCAACCCTCGTAGTTCCGTGGTGGTCCTTGCTTTAACACAGCGGGACAACAGATGCAAGCTTTTTCCTTCGACCCCCAGAAGGCCTGTGGGTGGGGGGGGATGAGCTTCCCTTTTATGCTTTGATGCTGTTGTTGGAACGTGTGTGGTGTGGGGAGAAACACCGACAGGCCTTCCCTTTTCCTGCCTCGGCAAAACCTTTCAGCGTGTACAGCCGAGCCAACCCGGGGCGAACCCCTGGGGGGAACAAAGGACACCCCGTGAAACGCGGGAGTGCGTGCGCGCACGGGGGGAGCGGCCTGGACGCTGCCGCGACCCTCACACCCGGTAGAGAGAGAGAGAGAGAGAGAGAGAGAGAGAGAGAGGCGTCAAACCCCTACACCCTAGCCCTGGCGAAAAAAAAAAAGAGAGAGAGGCACCACAACCACAACCACAACCACAACCATCGCAACAACCAGACACGGAAGCAGCAGCCGCAGGGGATGAGGACAGCAGTGAGCACCCCCCCACCTACGATGTCCACTGGACAGAGGAGCACCAAACCTTCTTGCTCCGCCGACCCTATGACCAGTCCTGGCTCCCAGACACGTTGCCCCCGGCCCTCCCACTAGGACCAATTGTGGCCAACCTGGCCCACGCTGAAGCGGCCGGCATCTGGCTCATGGGGTCGGTCCGGCACATGGTGGCTGGAAACCCGCCAGATATCCCGAGGCACACAGGTGCACAAATAGTTGTGACACAGGCCAAACCCACGATGGACCAATTCATCGGGTCAGGGACGGCGTTCTTCCTGCGCCCACTGGGAAGACTGCACCGCAGGGAACCCGAGGCCTGGCATGTACGGGTTGTGGACGCTCCGAGGGCCGTGAGCCAAGGAGCACTCAAGCACCAGAAGGGGGAGCACTTACTCCTTCTCTGGACAAGACAGCAGTGGCAATGGCACCCATGGCGAGACGAGTACCTCCTCCGATTTGGAGGATACTCACTAGACCTGCCCACTCCCGTCTCGGGCGGCCACGACAACACGCCACCGACAGGCGAACCGGCCCAGAGCAGCACAGCAGAACAACCACACCAGCCACCAGATGAGGCGCCAACCTCCACTACTGACCAGCACGATAACCGCCAGCAGGACCAAGCACCACAACCACAGCCAGAACAGGTGCCCAGAGAACCAGCACGCTCCAAAGCCCCGCCACCGGGCGTACACCCCCCGCAGGGGCCCGCACCTGGAGCACCAGCGGATGTACAGCAGGATCCGGGAGACCTCAGTGAAACCTCCTGGCCCAGCAACGAACCTGCAGACCACGTTGAGCTGATGCAACGCAGAGCCCGTCGGTTTAGGGCACCAACCCTCACTGAAGCTACAGCAGCCATGGCAGAAGCGAGGAGATGCCTGCTCCGACTCCTGGACACGTCCCACCCGGGAGAGATACAAGCCTATGCACAACAAGCACTGGTCGCCTTACAACCTGAGGAGGCACCCGCAGAGCAGGCACCGGCCAGCAGCAGCCAAGCACTACCACCACAACCACCGCTCAACACCAACACAAGTCCACCACCACCAAACCCGCATCACATTGCTGCCCACCTGCTGCAACTGCAGCTTGACCTGCTAGCAGCGGTCGAAGCAACCGGAAGCCACACAGCAACAGCAGAGATAGTCCACGACTTGCAGGAGGTGGACCGCCTTCTAAGGGAGGGCACTCAGCGATTCCACTCGCACAGAAGAGCGAGGAACTGGGGCGCAGTACACAGAGGAGAAGACTACGCAGAAAGAGCAGAAGAGTTGCTCAACAACGTGCTCCAGGCCACAGAAGGGCAACAGCAAGTACCTGACCACTTCAGGGACAGCTTGGACAGGGTGGTGCACCTCTGCCAGGAAGCGTCGGCGGCACACGCCGAAGCCTGGGGAGAACCAGGAGAGGAGCAGTTGAACCTGGACCGAGGTGCAGAGGTAACAGCTCCTTTGCCAAAGAAGGCGAGGCTCGGCAGAGAGCAACACCAAGCCGACGTGGTGGCACACGCTGGAGGGCAGCCCAGCTCCCCAACCTTGGGGGACCAGAGGCCAGAACTACCACTGCAAGCGCTGTACATGCTCCGCCGCCTCCAGCCTTTCTTGCGTGGGCAGATGCACGAAATGGTGGGATCGGCCATTTGCGACCTGATGCAATGGTCGACACAGTTCTTCGGAGCACCAGTGGAAGTGGTACCAGACGAGAGCGACGACTCCACGGCCACAGCGGCAGCGGAACCACTCCCTGAACCTGCCCCGGGAGCCGACCAGGGAGTACCTCAACAACGAGCGCTACTACACGACCGCCGAGAACCTGCCCAGGGAGTACCCGCTCCCATGACGACGCCTGAACCAGACGACGACCACGCCAAGCCGCCTGAGCCGGGACCGGGGGCACCTACTTCGACAACAGCTACTGGAGGACCCGGTGTGGCACCTACCCAAGACGAGGAAAGCGCCACAGTGCCATGGCATGCTCCCACGCCGGAGTACGAACCCCAGTTGTGTGCACAGCCCGCGGGAGAAGAGAGCGACTGGGGCACACCTGGAGCACCTCCTCTACAACCGTGGGGACACCCTCCGGAAGACGACCTGAGCGCCGCCAGTCAAGTGAGCCACAGAAGACGGCGGTTACTAGCAGCACTGGCTGACGACTGAGGTACCAGCCCTACAGTGCCCCCCCCCTTTTGTTGTGCACCAGGTAATCCTTGACCCTCTTTGCACAGTAGGGGCACACCTCATGTCGACCTAGAGCTGCAGTAGAGGCTTCAGGGTTGAGTGGAAGGTCGGAGGCAGTGCGGGGATCAGGCTTCCGTTCGGTGTCAGGCAGGGTTAGGCAGGTAGGTTGGGTTAAAGTACAGAAGAGTAAAGCGAGGCACCAGCGAAAGCCAGGGAACACCAGGGACCAACAGTCTAGGCTGCTCAGCTACCTGTACACTCTGTCCCCGGAGTACCCTCTTTCGCCACTGGCAGACCTCGGAGTCTCACACTTGGTCGGCCAACCCTCCACAACAACCTTTTCGTGCTTCGCAAACAAGTGGAGGGGGGGCACCGCTTTTGAGTAAGGCTTCAGGGTTGAGTGGAAGGTCGCAGGCAGTGTCGCGCAGGGATCAGGTTTCCGTTCGGTTTGAGGCAGGGAAAGGCGGGATTCAGGTTCAAGGCAGGGCACACACTCAAAGGGGGCACCCGCCCAGTGGTAAGCTACCTCACTTTACTTGCCGGTTTTGCAACTTTGACCGAAACGGGAGCCCCAGCCGAGTCGTGAAGTGCAGTGGGGGACGGGACCAGAGATTTGTCTATCATACTCACACTGTTGGTTTTGGAAAGGGAACCCACCTGCAACCCTGAATAACAGGGCACACGTTCTTGTACAGCCGAGCCCTTCCACTCCAAATAGTGGATGGGGTAGCGCGCTCGCGCGGGGCGGGAGGACTGCTCCTGCCCTAAACCCCGAGCAAAGCAAAGCAAAGAGAGAGAGAGAGAGAGAGAAAGAGAGAGAGAGAGAGAGAGAGAGAGAGAGAGAGGGAGGGAGGGAGAGATAGAGAGAGATAGAGAGAGAGCGAGATGTCCTTTGTGGGTAAGTAGGGTACACCTCTCACTGGGCAAAGAAGTAGAACAGGGCACCTGCTGTGGTAGGAGAAGGCTTAAGGGTTGAGTGGCAGGTCACAGGCAGTGAGTGCGCGGAAGTGAGGCTTCAGTTCGGTGTGAAGGCAAGGCTCAGGCAGGTGAGGTGGGTTGACAAACAGTACAGAGGGCAAAAGCCCAACAACAGCGGAGGGCACCAGCCCAAGTGAGAATGGGACCCGAACTAATGAGCAAGTAACTGAAGTCGCACAGAACAAGTCGTGGGGTTCGGTGGTCGCAGGGGCTTAGGACTTAGCCACAGGCGGCGCTGCAAACAGGCCGGGATGCGGGTTAGTGTTCAGGGTTTGGGGGATATGCGTCCACAACACGTAGCAGGCCGTAAGGCTGACCGTCTCCGCTCACGCCCCCAATGCCCTTTGCTCTCTGAAGCAGAAACTAAAGGGGGCGCCTGGCCGCTGGTGCAGGCAGGGAGGAAGGAAGAATTCATCGGAAATGCACGGGGGCCGCTCGGAAGAATGGTCCCCTCTTGTCCTGAAGAAGAACTCCCCCGTTCGTTTGACTGTGCTGAAGAGGAAGAGAGGGAGAGCAAGGTTTGTTATTCCGCATCCTCAGCTGCACCAAAGGAATCTCTGCCAAGGGGTATATGTGGATCGCGGGAATTCCGGCTACTGCTGTGTTTAATTCCAAGTATATGGAACATGCATCAGCAGTTGCTCACAAGCTGTGATGTGCTGCGGCGCAGGCAGCTTCTTGGACACGAAGACAACGAATGTGGGGGATCGCACCTACGCGCAACTCTCTTACATCGACGAAGCCTGCTTGACTTTGGTTGCATGCCGGTGCAGGGGCTTCCAAGCTCACATCTGACGCCATGACAAGGTCTTTATGTACAACTCAACCTCGGACTTGACACAGCGGCGATTGATTACAGGCACTGTGAGCCAGCCGACGAAGAGCTTTCGGGGATCATGGAGCGGTGTAGATCAGAAGGCTCCGGGATGATGGCTGCGGCGACGCACATGCATTCCTATCTGGAGCGCGCCTCCTGCATCGTGCAGGCTCAGCAGCCGCCTTGAAGCGCGAAGCTTCAGTTCTTGTGCATCCAAGGATCCAGAGACTGCAGACCTCTTCTTCATTCCAGCTTACCATGGCGACCAGTGACCCTGTCAATGCTCTTGCGAGTTGTCAAAGGCACTTTGAGGCACGGAGCGCTGCAGACATTGAACCAGGTACAACACTTTCCTGGAGAAACGTGCTCATGCAGACGACTCTGAGCATGTGCCTCAAGCTGAACATGACACACAAAGCAGCAGCTGCATCAAGTGGTGTCTGCCAGATTTTCACATCTTGCGCGGCGGCGAGGACAAGATCATTTCTTTGTCGTCTCGGTGCGCGCGGAAAGATCTAACGCAACATCGGCGACTCGCCAAGGGCATCTGTCGTGCTTGTGCAAGGCGAACTTGCCATCTTGGAAGCATCTTGCTCCACTTCGCAACTCAATACTCCTCACAGTGACGGCCTCAAGAGAATTGTGACTTTTGCATCGCGAACAGCGCGCCTGTCCTGCACAGTCCCTTGTACGTTTGGTATGTCCACTTACACTCCGAAACACATATGATCATGGCCGATCACAGATCAGTGAAGTTGAGACGCCCACCTGGGACCGTTGCACATCTGCTGCACTTCGCCGTGTATGCTACTGCTAGGCAGTGGGGTAACTTGTCGTTGATTTTGGGATGTTTGTGCGGTCGACTGATTTCTGATTTTCCAGATCCAGAAACTTGTTTTGGGAGGTTTCAAGGTTTCGGAGGTCCAGAGGCTTGTTTTAGCAATCTACTCAGGGTTTCCACCACGGCAGCTGCGGCACAACATCAACAGAAGTCTGACTTGAGCGCAGCGCGCGCTCTCTGCCCTACGGAGTACGACCGGCACCGAGACGTCCCGGGCGAGTCAATTACGCAACGAGAACTCATCGCGTCAGAGAGCAGGCCAAAAAATTGCATGTCGAACATTCGGAACCAGTCTAGATTTGTGCTGTCGGTTGCGGATTTGCTTGTGTGGGCTACGTTGTGACCACTGGTCACGAACAGCGGACAGATGTTACTTGAAGAGTCGTAGGACAGTAGATGACAGTAGTAGGCATGAGGGGAGGGTGCTCGATCTCGTGGCTGCATCAAGAGAGTACTGTTGCCCGCAATCACGCCGATGGCTGGCGAGCATCTCTATGCGTACGTACGAGCACGGAGTCCAGTAGACCCCGGCAGATGCTCCAGTCCTTACCTCAAACTTCGGAGACCCGTTGGAGCAATCCTCACAGAGCTGCTCAGCTTTAGTTCGTTCCGTGAATCATGCAACGAATCCCGTCGAAATTCGTCGCACAGAGAAGTGATTGAATGTTAGACAGAAAAGCGCCACGCTCGTCTCCAACTGTGTCATGACTGTCCTGCTAGTCATGCAGAGGTTGAATCTTGGCAAATCAATGATGAACTTCCACGGTTCTCCTCTTAGCTTCCTGCTCGTAGTGTGGACCGTCTTCGTAAGCTCTCTCCGGCCAGAACAGGTGGTATTCACCCTGGAAGGACATCATGATACCGGGTTACATTGACCGCTGCTGCCTAAGCACAGAAGTGCCCAGATGCTGGAGGTCCTCTCCCCTCGTAGTTTGCCTTTGCGTGTTCGTCCTGTTTTGTTCAGAGCTACCTGTTTTTTGTTGGCGGACCTAGGTTGGCGGATCGACGCGATGCGAATGGTCAACAAACCTACGAATGAGCGCGGTTTCCTGTGCCCAGCTTGCACGGCAGGTCGCCCTTTTGCTGTATGCACTGGCCCTTTGTCCAAGGATGGTTTTCCATGGAAATCATCCTGGGAATCACGGCCTTTATGTGGCACACAAGGCTAAGGCTCCGCCTGTTGCTTCACCATTCGGGAAGTAGCATTTGCCCGAAAGGTTTTGGAGCGGCACAGGATGTCAATGTGAACCTGATAGTACTATCAGTTTGCACCAATGGTCATACTATTGATAACAACCATAAAAATAGTATCAATGATAGCAATACCAATGATAGCAATATTTATGCTCGCAATGAGAATAGTTGTAGCACTCGTAACAATAGTAGTAATGGCAACAATAGTAGTTATAGTTTTAATAGCGGCAATGGTAATGCTAGTAGCATTAGTAGTACTAGTAGTACTAGTAATACTAGTAATACTAGTCATACTAGCAATACTAGTAATACTAGTAATACTAGTAATACTAGTAATACGAGTAATAGTAGTAATGCTAGAATTGCCAGTAATGATAGTAATGCTACTAATACTAGCAACAATAGCAATAACAGAAATAGTACTAATAGTAATAATAGTAATATTAGAAAATCAGTAATTACGGTAATAATAGTAGGAACAATAATAGTAATAGTACTATGAGTTGCGACAATCATTCTAATCATGAGTGCAATAATAGTCATAATGGTACTGATAGTCATAGCAACAATACTACTAACAATAACAGTTTGAGTAGTAGCAACAACACTGCTACTAATGGTAAATGAAATATTAATGGTGATATCAACAACAGTTGTAATAAAGATGAGAGTTATAATACTAGTAATAGTAGTAACTACTACAATTACTACTACTACTACTACTACTACTACTACTACTACTACTACTACTACTACGACGGCTACTACTACTACTACTACTACTACTACTACTACTACTACTACTGCTACTGCTACTACTACTACTACTAGTGCTACTACTACTACTACTACTACTACTACTACTACTACTACTACTACTACTACTACTGATACGACTGATACTACCACTACACCTGCTATTACTACTTCTACTACTACTAATAATAATCGTAATCATCATCATAGTCATGGTCAGCATAGTAATATTAATGATATCATCAACAACTTTGATAGTAGTAGTAGTAGTAGTAGTAGTAGTAGTAGTAGTAGTAGTAGTAGTAGTAGTAGTAGTAGTAGTCATAGTAGTAGCAGTATCGATAAGAAGCATTATGAAATGACATAAACATATTCACACTCTGTGCAGCCATTGGCTCAAGCAGCTGCCTTGCGGCTGGCTCGTTGTTAACGTAGTAGGCAGCAAGTGTATGCTGCCTTCGATGACCAACTAGGCCGGGTCGTCTCAGAACTGAGCTCGATGATGCCAGTGCTTTGGAGTCAGGTGGACGGACTGCGTTGCGTGTGATGACATACTCTGTTTCGAATGTGCTTTTTCTGGCATTCGGCCTTGTGGCCTGCACCTCAGCCACTTCAGCAGCTTAAGAGCCTGCAGCCACGACGCCCAGCGACATGCGAGGCAGTGAAGGCAGCAGCCCCGCAGAAGGAGCGATGCTTGCCCTCGATCTTCTTATTCCTGTTCTTCACATGGAAACCCTCCAACTTCCTTCCGAAACAGCGTATCCAAAGCGTGCACGTGTGTGGGGATGATCTGCGGGGAGGTTCGGCCAAGCCTGCGGCAGGTGGCCGACAAGGCCGCTTACCCTGGCTCACCTTTGACTGCCTTTAATTCGTGGCTTCTGCGATTCTGGCAGCAGAGGCACATACCGTGGCCGCCGGGAAAGGTGTGCCGAGGCAGTTCGCAAGTGGAGCACCTTTAGCGTGCTTGAAATACTGCTCCTTGGAGGCTCTTTGGACGCAGCTTCCATGATGCTCCAGTTGGCAATGCGGACTGGGTGCGACCGGCAGAAATGTGTTTTAACATGTTGCATGTGGTTTCACCTTTGTTATCTGTTATCTGACTTCGCATGCTTTCTGCTTCTGGTGACGAGGTGAACCATAAGCCACGCATCTTCGTGCTCGGAGACATGGATCCAACTGCCGCATCCTAAGACTACCATGCAAGCATAGATCGTTTGAGTCGGGTTCGCATGGGCTCCCCTTTCTTTTGCGGATCTCACTCCTCGGGTTCAGGATGTGCTACCACTTTCCATTCTTCTCTCCTCGCAGGTTGCTTGAGGCTTTCCAACTCCGGTTTGTGTTGGGGCATTGGGTAGTCCATGCTGGGTGGTTGAGGTGTTGCCACTCTTACTCTGCTCTGTATGGCTTGTGGTTGCAATAGCGAGGTTTGGCTTCGAGAGGGGAGGACTGCATTTGCTGCCGGGCCACCCGCAGTGTTCAGGGTTCACGGCTTGCTACTGCCGACCCCGTCGTCCGTGTCTCTCGATCTCATGCCTTACTCGGGTGTGACGCTCGTTCGGCTGTACGATTGAGGCCCACAGTTTTTCCTGCGTCGTCTAGTTCAGGTATCCGGTTTGGGTAGCTGGCATCATATGCAGGATCATCAATGCGCTTCGGGTTGACGGCTTGCTGCCTCCACTGCTACCTCCATGGCTACTGCTGATACCCGGAGACTTCGCGATGTGTTTGTCAGTCCTTCGGCATTCGACACGTCGCGAGCCCTTGCCATCCCGGTCGTTTGGGCGGGCTGGGGCTTTTCCATTTCGGGTGTGGCTTCGTGGGTGCTTGCTCGTTCACAGGTTTGGAGTCTCTGGTTGGAGATCGCAAAGCCTCCGCGGAACATCTGACAAACGAGAGGTTGCACGAAGTAGCACTGTCTTCTCCCCATGCCCGAGGCCGTTGATTCTGCCAACGTCGAGTTTCTTCTTTGACTGGTGTCTTCCTCCTGGGGTTGCTGGATAAACTCTTGTAAATGCTGGTAGGTCCCAGACAAGTCACGAAAGCTAGCTCTGTTGAGCTTGCGGGAGTTGTCCTTTAGCAATTCACCTTGTATTAAGGCACTAGGGAAAAACAGGGTTTGCACCTTATCAGGTGGGACGTCCAAGAGTTAAGGTGGGGGGTGGGGGGGGTGAAACACTGAATGTTACACATCCAGGTGCTTGTCTGTTTCACGTATCACTTGCATGTATCCATGCCTGTTGCTCAAGGTTCTAGTGCAGTGGACTACAGCTGTGCGCCTGTAGCAAAAGAGACACCTGAGTGCCTGTGTTCCTGTACGCCTAGCGAGGGGATACACGTCCAGGTTACATCTCAACGTGGTAGCGGAGCTCCCGGGAAACGGGAAGCTTCACACTTGTGGAGGTACCCGTTCGGTACTCTCTACACAGGTGGAGGCAACCGGAATACCCGGTGTGCTTCACTCAGGTGAAGGTGACCGGAGTCTCTCCGGCACACTTCACTCAGGTGAAGATAACCGGAAGAGGTTTCTCCCGGGGCTCGATCCAAGAACAGCGCAATGGCTAGCCACTCTGCGACTATCTTTGAGCATGAAGGAGGAGATGATGACTACCTCCTCCACGGAAATGAATCTTTCGCGACTAATCATCGTCATCTCAATGAATTACACCGTCTTTCAGCTTTCCAGCAGGTGACCACCAAAGTACCTCCATCTTATGATGGTAGAAGCAGTTGGTTTGCCTATGAAGATGCGATCGATGACTGGTGTGACATTACTGAGCTAGACAATGATAAGCGTGGACCAGCTTTGAGAAATCGGCTAGAAGGTGAAGCAGCAATCCACAAGAGACTTCTCGACAGAGATCGCCTGAAGGACCCGAACAACGGAGTGAAGTACTTCAAGAGTTTCCTGCGGCCGCTTTTCGTGAAGGGAGCAGCGAATGTTTTTCTCTATCGCTTCCAGCAGTTCATGAACATGCACCGTGGGAACGGAGACATGCTTCGTTGGATTACCAGGTTTCAACTCTCTGTTCAGAGAATGCAAGAAGCGTGGAACGATACCTATCTGCCGATCGAGGACCCGAACAATGCAGAGGTCAGAGCTTTCATAGTAGGACTTCCTCCAGAAGAACAAGAAAACCTTACGCCAGCTCAGGCAATGGAGAGAGCCAACGAACGGCTCAGAGAGCAGCATGCTCGGACCATTCCGATCACGCCCAACCTGGTCGCTTTGATCTTTGTGTCCCTGTCTGATCTGACACAGGATCAGCGTCAGGTGTTGACATCACTGATGGCGCATCGGAACCGAGTCCTGGCTGACTACAACACGGCCGAGCTTCGCGAAGTCTACCTGGAGATCTTCTGTACGACCAAGACTACTGTCGACAATCCACTCCTCGCTCCTTCCGGCCACGGTGGCCGCAAGACTTTCCTTGTGATCGATGAAGGATATTTGAACGATCATGAAGGCTACTGGGTTGAGGACGAGGAAGATGGCACCGAAGGTTTCCTCGAAGCGGATGAGGACGCCTTCTGGGTCTACGACGACGAGAACTATTCATGGTTCCAGCGGCGCTTCCAAGGCCGCAAGATGAGGCGCGGATTCAAGGGCCACCGTAAAGGCAAAGGAAAAGGTGGCAAAGGATCCAAAGGAAGGCGCTTCTTCAAAAGGAAGAAAGGCAGGTCACATCTTGCCGAAGAATCAGAAGCATGGCAAGCAGAAGGACAATGGCAAGATTACCAGTGGAGCGATCAGTCCTGGGATGACTGGTCCTGGTACGAGTCTGAGGAATCCTATGCAGCCAAAGGAAAAGGGAAGAAAGGAAAGAAGGGCAAAGGAAAGAGCAAGTTTGGCAAGGATGGAAAAGATGGAAAGTCCGGAAAAGACGGACAGAGCCAGCTTGCTGATGCTGCCCCGAGCGGCACCACAGCCGCCACAACCTTCTTCGTTGAACATCTCAACACTCCGAACTTTTCTTTCATGGCCACCGAAGAGAAGATCAATGAGATCGAGGAAGCCTTCATCTCTCAGCCCTTGACGCCGACCGCGATGGTGTTGGACCTGGGATGCACGAGAGCAATGGCTTCGAGAGTGGCCGCACAGGACCTCATGGAGTTCTGTGACAAGAACCAGAACTGTGGCATATGGTACACCATTGCTGAGACCACTTCTCAGTTCACCTTTGCCAATTCCGAGTCTACCAAATGCAACCAGAAGTTGGTCA